GATGGGTGCTGTTTACCATCTAGTCTATCAGCCGGAATCAGGGAGGGCTATGTACAGATAGCTATTTTGGAGCTTTGCACAAAATACTGAAACAAATTGCTCACTAGAGCTATAAGCTCAGAGGAAGACACTTTATGAGTTAAACAACTGTGTAAAGACTAAATAATGTACTGTCGTTAGTTTCATAAGACATCAGACAGTATCATTCACACTGGTTTCAATGTAAAGTTAAGGAGGAATATCTTAAAATTTTATTTCCTGGTGGCACATAAGTATTAGTTTAGCTGCCAAATGGGAAATAGTAATGTTTATTTGCATCTTTACTCTAACTTAACATGATGTTTTTATATAGCAAGGTTTATCTTAATGACATCATTCTTTCAAGATGCAATGTTTATGAACATATTTAGAAATATTGCTATAAAGAATAAGAACTGACTGAATTTTATATATATATATATATTTTTAATGAAAGCCTAGTTTATCCCAATTAGGCTTAGTGTGACATTAACAAAACAAAAAAAAACAAACTTGTTGTTAGATTTAATATTGATATCAAACTCTCTGTTGTGACAGAGGTAATCTCATGTAACCTTTAAAAATGGTTATAAGCATTTGAAACTGCAAAACCTAAACATTATACATCATTAGAGGTTCCTGGTTAAACCATTAGATAAAAGTCTTATTTTTTACTATCTTCTGATATACTTTAATTGCAAATACATTTGCTTATATGATAAGAAAGCATTCATCTACAATGTTTGTAGTAATTTTGTCATATGTAAGCTGGCTGTCAGTGTGATAACCGTATATTTGGAAGAATTAAGGAACTAAGAAATTGTTAAAAAAAAAAGACAAAATCTACGGCTTAATCAGTTGAAATAATGAGTGAATTAATAATATATTTGTAAAATGTATAGTATTTTGTATATCTTATCACAGATTTATTTTATTTTTGTTAAAGAAGTAATGAAATGGAAGTATTTTATAACTTCTGTTTCGTAAGAAGAAAAAATTAGTTTTCTTAAGATGAAAGAAAAGAAATCTTTCTTGATTTTAATAACTGTTTAAAAAATATTTTAAAGGGAAAACTCACTGCTCACTGCCAAAAATCTAAAATTGTATCTCATTCATTAGTTAAAAAACACAAAAATCAAGTAGGTTATACAGTGTATGGAGCTTCGTGTAAAATATGAAGTGTGATTAAAATGTAGATTTTAAGATGGTGATAATGAGCTTTTAGCAACTAAACATAACTATTTGACCCATTATTTAAACACAGTGGTCTTGTATGTGTACAGCATTCAATATAAATCTGTGATTTTAGGTCCAGTAAAATTAGCTGCAATCATCAAATAAATAT